AATGAAAAAAAAAAAAAGAAAAAAAAAAATAGAAGTAGCCACCTTGAAATCGAATGGTTATAAATAATTTTTCCATAAAAAGTGGCTATTTTTCAACTTTTTACCTTCAAAAGTTGCCTAATCTTATAATAGAGAGAAAAAAACATAAATCGTAATCATTTTCAGGGAAAATCTAAAATACAAGTCAATAGATTGATTGCATTGATCAAATCCAACCGAAGCAAGTTCAAGATAATATGACCAATATCAGAACATATAAAATAAATATAATTCGTGAGAAATTGAATTGTACGTCAGAGTAGAAAGTTTTACCCAGGTCACTAGCTTAGTTCCCTCCTCAACAAATGCTTCGTCTGTAGGCTTTTTACCAGTTAGAAGCTCCAATAACACAACACCATAGCTGTAGACATCTCCTTTTGCTGTAGCTTTTCCTGTGTCAAAATATTCTGCAGGAGATCAAAAGGCATCATTAGTAGATCGTATATCAAGAAAACATCAGAACTGAAAAACCAGCTTACTGCACCAGAAAAGCATACCAGGAGCCAAGTATCCGAAAGTGCCAGCAACTAATGTCGACACGTGAGTTTTATCCGCTTCCATCAACGTAGCTAGCCCAAAGTCAGATACTCGAGCGTCCAAGTTGTGATCCAACAATATGTTGCTCGACTTAATATCTCTGTGGATTATGTGAGGAATGCAATCATGATGGAGGTAAGATATCCCTCTTGCAGCTCCAACAGCTATTTTATACCTTGAAGGCCAGTCTAGAACCATTTTGTTCATAGATTTTCCTGCACCACCACTTAGTTCTTAGTCTCTGTCTTTCATAAATCGTCATCAACTCCTTCCGAATCAGTTGAGATTCTGTTAAAAAACTGCCCTTCAGGTCTAGTTACAGTAGCAAAATACTCTAAAATGTTTTGCCAGTATTAATGAACCCCTAAAAAGTGTTCGGCCTTACAGGAACCCGCTTCGAGATTGCAGTTTAGTAGAATATAAAACAAATGCTGAGCTTATACATGTTTCTTCACATGATAACTAAGTTTTATTTTGCAATCAAACCATATAACACAGTACATTTTGTAATTAACCATTATCTTTAAAGTTTTGTTATTACCATGAAGCAGCGTGTCTAAACTGCCATTAGGCATAAGCTCGTAAATGAGCAGATTGTAATGAGGGGCTGTGTAGTACCCGTGCAGGGTTACTATATTCCGGTGCTTAATGTCTCCCATTGCCTCCAACTCTCTCTCAAACCCACGATCTTGCTCGGCACTTAATCTGTTCAGTCTTTTGACCGCAAAACAAAACCGGTCATCAATCACCAGCTTGTAAACCGTCCCGAACCCTCCAGATCCGATGATGTCCTTGCTAGTTAGCTTTGTAGTGTTCTTCAAGAACACACTCGAGTTTAAGGATTTGATTCTTGGTGACGTGAACATGACTAGCTTGCCACCTGGTTTAGTTTGTGAAGACATTTTTGAGACCTTGTTGTGGATAAATAGGACGAGTTGGAATAGGTTACAGCAGAGAGAAGTGTACCTTTAGTGTTTTCATGAAAGATTGTTTTTTTTCTTTTCCATCGGCGGTAGCAAAGGATGGCCATTACGATCTTTGAGATGACAAAGGCAAAGACTGAGATAGTGATGTAGAATGGAGTAGCGTTTGCCATTTCTATATAGTCTCGATAGCTGCAATGTCCGTGCTCGATTTCCTGCTCAGACACGATTCGTTTGAGTTGATAAAAACTGAGAGTAGATTTGTTCCTGCTCAACTGCATGTAAAAAATGCATGCATCTAGTATGATGTCTAACGATTATATTCCAGGATTAAAAGGCCAGATAAGTAGAAACATCGGCCAAATGAATCATGTGAAACGATTGTCGTAGCAGCTGGCCTACTTTTTTCCTGAGGATATGTGCGAGTACAAAAGTTTAAAGGAATTATCAATCAGGGGCTGTTTCCCTTTATGGAAAGAAGGAAAAATGTGAACCATGATTTGGTGTTTCCACGCTGAAAAGTCTTAGCTGTGTATGCTTGAATCATGTGAAAACCATTTATATCAGGCTATGCCTCAAGTCATATGATAGAGGGATATCTAACAAGTGTAACTATAACTGATTTTATATCTATTCGAGTTAACTTTAATTTTCGTAAATGAGCGAGGATGTCGATTTACTTTTAGATAAAGTTCAGAATTTGGAAAGAAGAAGAATATGGAAAATTAGTTCTACATTGAATATATGGACAAAGTTGAGTTTCCTAGCTCAAAATTAGTAGGACCGAGGAAAAAGCGGAATCTGGCGTGCGCTTGAGTGATCACTCAGGTTGATCGCCGCCGGTTGAAGCATGAGGCTGTTGTGGTTGGGCTCACTTGCACTCGAATTGTTGGGCATAGATGTGCAAAGGCGATTGTAAGCCAGACTGCTTTTGGAGGCATCCGACATTGGTCCTTCGTGTTGCGCAATGCACACGGGACCCACTGGCGCGTGGCTCACGGCGCACCCATTTGTGGGCGTGTTTAAAAGGGTATCTTGTGGTTCGTAATCCCTGTTGAATCTATATAGACCCTTTGTGCATGATTGTTGAGAACATAGGTATTCATGACCACTAAGTTTTTCAAGCGCTCAAAGTCTTCATAAGTCTCAAGCGCAATTTTATATACATTTAACCGGTTTTGAATGACCAGATAACTTTAAAAAAAAATTAACTTAAAATATAACTCAACTTTAATACAACTTAAATATCTTTAATATTATTAATATAATTAAACAATATCGATTTATTATTGTCACATAACACATCAACTCTTATTCACTATTCATTTATTCATATAATTTTAACTAGTTATACATCACATCAACTTTATTCATTATATTTTATTTATGTACAAAGTCAAACCTCACTCAAACCTCCACTCAGTCATTTCTCTTTTCAAAGTTAACTCACTTTATTCAATAAATTCAATAAAATATTAAAGTAATTATATCCAACATCAAAGACTATTATAAAAAGCATTATATTGTAATTAACCAGAAGTTGCAATACTTGGAAACGATATCTATTTTGTAAATTACTATATTTTATTAAAATAAAAATCTAAAAATAATAATATTTATTTATAATGACTAAATAAAACTTTTAAAATCCC